AAAACATAACATACGAAAAATTTTGTGTAGTCTTGAGAATTTTTAAACGTGACTCTAACGATTGTCCAACTCAAGGGGGTCCAGTCAAACATTGCAGCAGCAGTCTAACTCAGTAGATAGATGGGTTTCAATTATTGCACCCCTTCTATGTTAATTAATATTAAAAAATATAAAAATTATATTAATTTTACTATTAATATCACACAAAATAATTTTAATTAAATAATTATTGAAATAAAAAATAATTTTTATTTTTTAATATTAATTAATGTAACAAATATATATAATCATACTTACAAACACAAATTAAAAAAATCTTATTTTTATTTCCCAAAATACCAAACACGGTTGAGTCTCCAAGGGTTCGAAGGCGACTCACAACTGCGACAATTGTAATGTGCATCATTGCTTACGCATATCGATCGTCTTGACTGTTAGAAGGAAAGCAATATAATACTAGTCCTACTAATAATACGATTATTTAATTGAGAAAAGCTTGTTAGATAATTTATTAAATTAGTAATTGAATGATACCTTTTCATTTATATGAGCAAAGTTTGAATCTTTACATACCACCAACTCCTTTTCCATTAAGGTTTCAAACATTTGGCAAGTCCTATGTATATAAAAATATGATAATTTAATAGTTTTTTCTAATTTATATATTTAAGGTATTGGTTAAAAGTATTTTTTATTATAAATTTATATAATAAAATATAAAAATTAATATTAATTTTAATAATATTATTATGTAGATCAATTTAATTGAAAAATTAATAGATTGAATAACTTTTTATTCTTTTAAGACTTTTATAGTATTTTTAAATTAAGTGGAATAAGGAGAAAGTAAGGAGAAGAAAAACTTATTTATTTAGTTATTAAAAATTTAGAGAGGATGGGAGGAAAACATTTTTTGTAATTTAATTATTTATTTAAATAAGAAGAATAAATGCGAAGAAAATAAAGAAAAAGAAGGAAATATAAATGCTTTCTTCTTCTTTTCCCCTGTTTTTTTATTTTTCTCAATCTAAAAATATAGTATTAAAAATTAAAAAAAACTGTTATTAAATTATAAGAATACAATAAAAAGGTCTCCTGTCGCTCCATTTTATTAGTATTTTTTTGTTCCCCGTTTTACACGCAATGTAGCACGATTAATAAACGACCTCGGTTTAATACAAAAGAATAACACATGCATTTTATTTATATATATAAACATATTCTATATATTTTGATATGTTCCATTTCACAAATGCTCTCTCTTGGAGAAAACCTCGAATATCTTTTCTCATTTCCAGTGCGGCAACTTATTTTTATAGTTTCCAGCACTGCTGAATTAAATCCCAAAGTAACTGTGATCATTAATTAAGAATTCAGGTTTATAATTTAAAGTGTGTTAAATAAAAAATTATTAAATGAGAGAAATAACTTTTTCATTTAAAGGATTTATTTTTATTTAATAAACTAAATTATATAACTAAATACATCTATCACTATAGTCATATATATGTGATAATATGAAGGTTATATAATTTAATTTAATTATTAAAAATAATTAATATTTTTAAATATTATAATTAATTATTAAAATGTATATATTAGTAATATAATAATTTTTTTTAAACAGTATAAAATTTTTTCAAGAAAAAAAGAAGGAAGATCTGAATTTGATTCCAAGTTCATTAGTCCTACGCACGGTCTGCAAGAGGTGATGAGTAAGCCACCAAATACGTGATTAGTAATATAATAATTAAATTAAACAATATCTATAAGAGTTTAGAAAGTAACACATGACCATAATCATACAAATAATGCATACAATTCAAATCGTTGAATACATTTTTGATGATTTAACTGCGCATGACTTTTTTATCTGAAATGAATGACTCGGTCTAAATTTTCACTCAATCGATGAGAAGGTGATTGGTTTGAGGGGTAGATGGACCGCAAGAGAGAGAAAATCATGATTGCTAAAAACCAGATTATTCCCTGGCATGGGCCACCATTTGATTCCGAAAGAGAAAGATCACATGTCATTACCAAGATCTTCTTTCTAACATATGTCCTCATCCTTCCAAATTGCCATGGATAATCCATCTCTTCCCCCTTGTAACTTGTTCCCCCCAGCAATCTCATCACCATCAATTTCTTTCCTGATAGGGGGTATTATTTTGTTCCCCTCCACCTTTTGCTTCGAATTCTCATTTTTAATCATTTCTTCCTCCCATCAAAATGATTCACAAAGATAATCATCCCCCTCCCCCTCTCTCCCCAAATGTTAATTTTTTTTTTTCAATTTTCATCATTTCCTCTTTCTATTAAAATGATTCACAAAGATATTCATTCAAACCCCAAATGTTTAAATATTTTTAGCATTTCTCATCCTTTTTTATTATTGGAAAACTGAATTGACATGAGCTCAAGAATAAGATTAATATTGTTCAAAAAAATTTTAAAAAAAATCAGATATATATTAGTCATTTTATATAAAAAATGCATATTAATTTCAATTTTTAAAAATAATTAAAATTTTAACTTTAAATTATATTTTTTATTTAATTAAAATTTAATTTAAAATTTAAAAAATTATCTTATTAAATATTAATATATTAAAATATATAATACAATTTTAAATTTATATATCAATATTTAATCAAATAAAATTTTAATTTTTAAATATAAATTAAAATTCTAATTATTTTTTAAAATCAAAACTAATACGTATTAATCTTATATATATTAAATTTAAAAAACAGACATATTATTATTAATTTTATAATCTCAAAATAAAAATTCATTTGGATATGTAAATTTCGAGTGAAACCAACAAGTAAAATCTATTAAACACATTAACATGCACATTTACTTAATCATTTTTTAATAAAATTACATCACTCATATATATCTTTAATTAAAAACTTTTAAAATACCAGTAGAGAAGAAAAAATTTTATATCCTTAATTTAAAAATTTTGTTTTTATTTATACAAAATCCTCTTAAGCTTCTCAACACTTATGCATATTCCAATAAGTAGGCCAAAGGATCTAGGTAGCATGTGAAGCAAATCTAGGGCAACCACTAAATGTATGTAAAAGAATTAATGATCATTGACTTTTCGATGCATACCAGTATATTTATTTAGCATCTTTTCACCTTTTCATTAAACAGTGCTACTAATCTATGAAGTTTAATTAATTAAAGTTTAATTAGCATCCAAAAATTTAATTCCATACGCAAAGAATCTTTCTTTATCTATCTTATTGAAAGAACGGCGTTTGTGGATCACAAGGCTCCGTCTAATCTCTCCAATATATGCCTGTAATTTATTTATTTATTTGTCTGTTTTTGACGAAAGCAGCAACTTTGTAGTGACTATCGACGATGGAAAACTTTGTGCAAATTTCATGATCAATTTGATCAATAAAAAATATAAGTTAATGCATAAACAGCGAATCTCATCCCGTCCGGGTGAGTGCTTCTTATCGTAAATCAAATTCAAAATCTGAATCTCTATTTCTTAAAAGGAAGGAATAGTTCATGAAAGTATATAATGCGATTTGAATTAAATTAAAGATTTTAATTTTAAATTTTAAGATGAATAAGTAAAAAATAAAAATAAAAAGTCGAAAGAGAAAATTAATTTTATTATATAATTTATTATTAAAGTTATTAAAATTGACAAAAAAAAACCTAATATAAAATTATTTAAATTGTAAAACCCTGTGGTACAATTTGATTATAATATCAAAATTTTAAAGTTATTCTAAATGAAATGTGCAAAATCAAAACATGTAAAAATCTTCATCTGATCATATATTGCCGAATAAAAAAAATTAATGAGCATAGATATCATGTAAATCTTTCTATCATGAAAATTGTTTTTCTTTATGAGTAAAAAATGCACTTAAATAATTTTAAAAAAAAAAACACACACAAAAACCAAACAGAAGATACCAAAAGAGAATAATAAGATCTGAAAAAATAGTATCTATTTTAACATGTAGGTTATGATTGCGGCAGGTAAAGGATTCCTTTAATTCTGGCACCAATTGCTCCAATATCGTGTATCCCATATTATCTTTAAAGCGTGAAGGAAATCATACATCGCAGAACAGAAGAGCCACATAACCAAGTTTAAGATAAGAAATTACCATATTTAAGAAGCCAATACCCACTCCCCTCGTGCTCGGAATAAATTAAATACCAGATTTAACTTTAAAAAAATAAAGGATATATATAAATATATATATATTTTGTCCATATTATCACCCAACAAATATCGTAGAATAACATAATATCACCTTTTGACTGTCAATCTCTCGGTTCGAGTCCCTATACCAGTAGTCATTCACAATTTATAAATACCACTACAAGTCTTTATTAAAAACTTCAAAAGTTAGATCGGAATATTTTAACCTTCTAAACCAAACAAAGTAAGTCCTTGTTGTTAGAACTGATAGCATGTTCTATCCTTAGAGGAACAGATCCTCACCCTAAACTTATAGCTAGTAATCTCTAACTTAAAAAACTACACTTATCTTAGGTTTCTTGGTCTAGAATTACACCAACGGAGAAAAAACAAAAGAGTCTTAAGTATATATGTTTTTAACTTATCAAGACATAAGAAGACAAATATTGAGTACAAAATAATATAACCACAAACTAACTAATTGATTTAATTAAGTAAAACACCTTAATAAAGTCATATACACACAAAAAGTCCAGACAGAGTAAAGAATAGGACCATCCTCTTCTAACGAGTAGATTGAGCTAGTTATGCATAGAACAGCTCTTTTATTAACATGGCACCAACCCGTTTGTGTTCTTCCTTTAGACTAGGTGCTAGGAAATTAATGTTGCACATTCTGGATTCCGATATGCTTTTTCTCCAAAGTATTCAAAGTTAATTAACCACATGCATTAATTGAAAAAAAAATAAAGAATTACATTAAAATACTAAAAAAATCTAATAAACTTGAAAATAATGATGCAATATACGATTAGTTTCACTTAATTAATTCATTATTCATTTCTAAAATAAACATAATTATACGATGAGTGCTGTAAAATTCACCCTTCACATTATATTTCTTCATGCTAATTTCTACACCTTTTGCTCATATAAGTCTAATGATCGGAAGGGCAAATCCAGGAATCAACCGTACCTTCAGCTCTGGAAGAAACATTCTCCAAACCTTTATCATGGTGATGAAAATCCGATGACGAAGCCGAGGAATAATTCACTTTGCAGCTGCTACTGCTAACCCTTTGTAAAGCACCATAGTTCCCATCCAAAGGCCTCAACTGATCTTGACCAAAGTTGGCATTAACATGTCCCTGACTTAACCCCAAACCGGCCTCCAGCGAAGCCATGGCTGAACCAGGTTGTGACTTGACACCAAAATCTGCCACATTAGGGTGGTGGAGAGGAGCAGGCAGTGGCGGCTGCGGCTGAAGAAGAGACTGGAATGAAAGAACTGGGTTCTGGCCGGCCGTCATGTTTAGTAAATTTTGGTGGGCACTGAAAGTGTTTGTTGCGGATATTATATTGGTGTTAGTAGTTGTAGCGTCTGCTGAAGTGGGATTATGCAACAATGGAGATGGTGTTGGTGGAACTTGAACTCTTTGAGCCAGGGGACGTAAAGGGTAGAGACTAGCTAGTGGGTCCAGATGAGCAGACCGCATGGCTGCACCTGCAGTGCTAAAAAGATCCAGCCGGCGAGAATAGGCGGAGCCAGAGAATGGCGGTGATGGGATTCCCGTAAATTCCTGCACCATTGCTCTGAAATTTGATGTGTCTGTGGTAAGAACCGTAGTGGGAGCTCTCCTTGATGCTCTAGTTCTCTTCTTGGGGTTCTTCACAGGACCTGTAGTCCGATCTTTCTGTGAACCTAGTAAGCCAGCCTGGTTCGATGATGATGGACCAGGAAGGGTACCCATATCAGCTTCCGATCTCAAGTTTCTAGGCCGAACCGTGTCCATATTGAGAAAAGATGGATTGGGGTTTGGATTAGGTTGGGATTGAGAAAAGGGATTGTGGAAATTAGAGGAAGGATCAAAGAAAGTGGGTTGGTGGTGGAAATTTGATATAGGATTAAAGTTGTTTAAAAAAGCTGGGACTGAATTATGGTCCGGCCGGGATGAGTCATACTCTTCGTCACCGCCACTTGAAGATTGCATGCTTCCACTTGAATCCATAGATGAAAAACAAAAAAACGCAAGAAAAGAAAACTAGAAAGAAGATTACCCCGAAATTAACCCGATTCAATTCACAAAAGGATTGAAGCAGACGGTCCAGCAGTTTTGTCCCTGGAGCTGAAGATCAGCTTCAAATCTGATGATTGCATGCAAAGGATGGATGGTGATAGTTGCAACAAGAAGATATATATTCTTGGAAAACTTGACAACAGAAACATAGATATGGACCTTCTCTCAGAATGGTGTTGTTGGGAAGACAGACTCGTGAGTAGCACGCGCGTGAACGGCTGCCATATGAGAAGCTAATTAAAGAGCTGATGGATGGATCTTCCCTTTTTTTTTCTTTCACATAGAGTTGGAGAAGAAGCTTCCAGATTCCGAGGTGAGAAGTGGACGATAGAAGGATCTATGTTGTTGTTTCTGGCATGGGAATTAGGGTTTGGGAATCGAAGGAGGGAAAAGAGAGAAAAGGAAAGGGAAGGAAAGGTTATTTAAGCTTTTTAGCTATGGAAAAGAGGGTTGTGTTTCCACTAAGAAGATCCTCTAGAGAGTGCAGCTGGGGTGGGGGTGGAGTGGGGTCGCCAATGGAGGAGAAAGAAAGAGCTGCCGGTGGCTGGCAACGGGTCAAACTCAAATAGAGAGAGATGGAATGTGATGGAGAAAGAGAGGTTAGGCTTTGTAGGCCATGTAAATGTGAAAGAGGGGAAAAGGATAGGGGTATTAAAAGAGGGAAAAAGAATATATTTTTTTGGCCGAAGCAAATGAAAAAAGAATATTTAAAAAAAAAGGGGGGGTGTATAAAGCACCATTTCAGATTTCCCACCACCACAAAATAAAAATTCTTTATTTTCTTTCACACTACTAATCCAAAAGCTAAAGCTTTTTTCTCACGAGGAAGCAACAGACAATTCCAGAATTTAGTTTTCATGTTAAAAAATGAAGCCAAAGGGTTGTCAATGATAAAATAATTAGTATAATTTAGTATAGCAGAAAACCGTGAAGATCATAATATTAATTTTTAAAAGATTTTTAAAAAAAATTATATTAAACTATCAAAAATCAATTATTAAGTGGTGAAGAGTCTAAGGGTAACAAATGTGAGCCTATATATTTGATAAGTATTCTTTTTGTTCAATTTCAATAGTTTTTA